AGAGTAAGGAATGCCAACCATTCCTCCAAACACTATAACCAGTACTGGCAGCAGATAGACAGATCTCTTACACAGGAGATGACTTAAGCAAGACAAGACTGCTAGTCTGCAACCACTCTTCCATCCCATCCAGCAACCCTACAATTAAGGCAGCAGTTCTCAAAGTGAGGCCCAAGAGGTCAAAGCTATTTTCATAATAGAGTTGACTTTTTCACTGAGTTGACATTTGCAATGACAGGTAGGTGCAAAAGCAGCAGTGAGTAAAATGGACAACACTTCAGCACAAATCAAGGCAGCAGTACCCAAACATACTAGAAGTAGTCGTTACCTTCTTTATCACCAGACTCACAATTGAAAACAAAACAAAAAAACCTGTTTCACTGGAAAGTTTAATAAAACAAATTTACCAACTTAATTAAATCTGAACCTTTGAAAACACACACATCTTTTTAATATCCCATGTAAGAAGATAAGAAGTATACATAAAGGACTTCTGTTGTATAACAAAACAGTATGGACATCTCAAGTCACAAAAAGTTAAATACTGCTGCCAGGTGAATGAAAGCCATTTTTACTTGAATGTCAAACAAACAATGCTTATTCAGACCAAAGACCAAGAGAAATTGCTACACATTACCTCAAAAATGAACAAGTGAGTCTATCACTCGAAGAAAATCAACTGCAAAATTGGTGGCCACTGATAAAATTTCAACTTCAAAATAAAAAATGTAAAATCTAGAAAATGTTTGTTCTTCACTGTGAGTTTCAAAGGTTCCTGATACATTCCCAAGACATTTCAAAACCTACCACTGTTGATATAAAAAATACTGTGACACGCCCCGCCCCAAAGTACAAGCAACAAGAGAAATAAACTGAGCTGTATCAAAGTAAAAAAGCTGTGTATCAAAGGACACTATCAGCAGAGTGAAAAGGCAACCCACAGAATGGGAGCAACTATTTGCAAATCATCTATCTGATAAGGTTTTAATATCCAGGACATATAAAGAACTCCCACAACTCAACACCAAATAAACAGACAACTCTATTTTAAAAACGGGCAGGGCGGGCTTCCCTGGTGGCGCAGTGCTTGAGAGTCCGCCTGCCGATGCAGGAGACGCGGGTTCGTGCCCCGTTTCGGGAAGATCCCACATGCCGCGGAGCGGCTGGGCCCGTGAGCCATGGCCGCTGAGCCTGCGCGTCCGGAGCCTGTGCTCCGCAAATGGGAGAGGCCACAACAGTGAGAGGCCCGCATAACGCAAGAAAAAAAAAAAAAAAAACGGGCAGGGCTTGCCTGGTGGCACAGTGGTTAAGAATCCGCCTGCCAGTGCAGGGGACACGGGTTTGAGCCCTGGTCCGGGAAGATCCCACAGGGCGCGGAGCAACTAAGCCCGTGAACCACAACTACTGAGTCTGCGCTCTGGAGCACATGAGCCACAACTACTGAGCTCAAGCACTACAACTACCGAAGCCCACGCGCCTAGAGCCCAAGCTCCGCAACAAGCAAAGCCACCGCAGTGAGAAGCCCGCGCACCGCAACAAACAGTAGCCCCCGCTCGCCACAACTGGAGAAAGCCCACGCACAGCAATGAAGACCCAACGCAGCCAAAGGTAAGTAAATGAATAATAAATTAAAAAACAAACAAGTGTTGGGAAGGATGCAGGGCTACTGTTGATGGAAAATGCAAAATGGTGTTGATGGGAATGCAACCTATACATTGTTGATGGATGCAGGGCAATTGTTAATGGGAATGCAAAATGGTGTAGCCATTTTGGAAAACAGTTTGGCTTGGCAGTTCCTCAAAAAAGAGAGTTGATGTGTGACCTGACAACGTACTCTGTTAAATGAGTAAATTATATGGTAGGTAAATTTTACTACTATTATTTTTAAAATATGGTGAGGGTGATTATCTAAAGCTATCTGCATGACTACGTTTTCCCTCCTTTCCCTAGTCTTCTTTGGGAAGGGGAATTAGAGGTTTAACAAGCAGAGACAGCATATTATAATCTCTAACATGCCTAATATTAATTTCTGAGTAGTATACAATTGTCAATGGTTACTAAAATTTATCTTTAAATTTCATTAGACTCCCTACAGTCATTTAACTAATACTTAAACACACCAGGGGAGGGTACTGAAATAGGAGTCTTACACTTTTCATTTCTTAAATTAAGAATCTTTTTGTAGTTTTAATAATCACCCACTAAGTCATAACGTGTTTCATGAATTAGAATTTCCATATCACATGGGTTTTTTTAACCTACCTTTCCACTAACTGCTTGAGAATCCACCCATAACATCCAAACAACAGCAGCAACACAATGGGAATAGGGAGACAAGGAGTGATAGAGACCAGGTAAAGCAAACTATGAGGAGCTTCAAAGACTCTAGGTCACCAATTCTAGGTCAGACGGTAATTAAGTCCCATAAACTGAAATGAATTATGTACAATTTGTATTTTAAGTTCCAAATGTATCAAGCACAGTTACTCTGAATCAGATCCAATAGATGCAAGTCAAATTCCTATGGCATATATAATTGAAAAAATGCTTCTATAAAATGTGAAAGATAACGCTTTTAAATGACGTAACACAACTGATAAAAACAAAAGCAGAAAATGCTTCCCTGAAAATTATGTAATTTGAGCACAAAAATAGGCCAAGAGTAAATCAACTAAAAATTTGGCAACAGAAATCATTTTCTTAGGAATGTACTCACAGGACAAGAACTACAAAACAAAGACAAAACAAACAAAAAAACCCTTATTTTTCACATGAAAATAAAATTATTCTAAACAGATGCTCATGAAACATAAACACGTTTTCAACTTTAAAATCAACTCCTCCACATAAAAATTTCCTCCAAAAATAAAATACATACTCAGAATTTAAATCTACTTTGCTAAAATTAACTCGAGAATTTACTGAATTTCATTACTCATTAATTTTTTTAAGTAACTTCACCTCCCTTCACTTCCTTTTCTTCTCTTCCCCTTCCATTTCCCCCTTTATGCAGTTTCTCCTCTACGAAGGCAAAACAACTCATATCACTAATAAATATAGCCTCCTTCCAAACACCACACTGACCTTTTTCTTCCACAGGAACTCTCAAGTACTAAAACAAACGTTGTTTCCCTCACAATTCTCAGGTTAAAGGTATTTTTCAGAGACTCAAGAGCCGAAAATCCATCTCTTATTTCCCAGCTAGTTCTAGAACATTTTAGTGGCCAGGAGCCACATCTTAACTTGTTGCCCCTTACAGCTCCAAATTCTATTAAACTCAGACTAATTGCTTTCCACACAAAATCTGTGTGGGAAGCTAAGAGAAGAGAACACAGGAGAGCCCTACACTATCTCCAAGGGAGAGCAGATATTGTACCATTTGTAAGCAAAGGGGAATATGGAAAAAAATGAATGAATGAAAACAAAAAGAAAATTAATAGGGCTGATCACTGACACAAGGTGACAGGCTTTGAATCAGGAGACTTAAAAGCGCCACAGAATTTAGTCATAACTATCTGACTGGAGCAAACAAAGACAAGTAAATTTAATCTGAATATTGAATTACATGAGTGATAAAAGATGGGCAAAAATCAGAACACAACTGCTCACACAAAATCTTGACAACGTTTTTAAGAACTTCCTTTAAAATACAAATCACTAGCTCAGAAAACCTACAAGTGGGGTCCCAACCAAGAGAACATTCCTTGCATAATTTCTTTTGCGTAATTATACCTTTAAAATATATTAGACTTTATCAATTAATTGAGCAAGCATTAAAATGTCAGTGGAACAGAGACCAGAAACAGACCCATACATAAATGGAAACTCAGCATATGGGAAAGGACAGATTTTTCAGCAAATAGCCTGAGAAATGACAGAGCTACTACAAAATTTTACTAGAGTTTAAAAATTTAAAAGATGTCTGTTCCCCCCCTCTTTCTGATTATATAAATGGGACAGTCATTGGAAAAAATTACAAAACATAGAAACAATGAAAATTGTCTGTAATGTGCCCAGTAATCATTACTAAAGTACATGTTTAGTGTATTTTTTCACTAATATTTATTTATTTAAATTGGGTACCCTTGATTAATATCCCTTTGTTTCCCTACCTCATTCACTGAGGGTATTGTCACGGGACCAGTAGTCTGAAAAGTAAGATTTTTAATACATATCACATATGGTAGTACCATTATTTAATAACCA